CCCTTCACACTTACAACCGGTCCATCGACGCTAAGCCTTGTCTTGATCTTCTCCATCTAGCCACATGACTCCATGTCATGTCACATGCAATATGCTCCTTTATCACATGTGTATTTGTAGACTAATTTCCTATGTATCTTACATAAACACATATTAGTCCACATAAGTTGTCACTCAATACCAAAACCAAACAAGGACCTTTCAATGGGCCAATAAAAAATGCAAATTGGAATGATCTGGGTTACGTTTTTCATCATGTCAGCATCACAAATGTAGATATGTGACATAAATTACATATATTATGACTTAAATTAATTGTCATAAAACCTCACCTCTCTTGTAGTGATAGGAGACCACCGTATCTCCTCTGTAACCGGTCACTAGAAGTGAAAATAATAAAGAGAGCTCCCATCCCCTCCATATCTGCGTTCTACATTGTGTCTCTATGCTTCTGTCTATATTAAGAGAACCGATTTCTCAACAAATAATATATTATATTAGTAAGTACTTACTCCCTCCATCCCAAAAGAAATATAATTCTATCTTATGAGAAGTCAACAAAACCATGTTTGATCAAAAACTTTAAAAAGTGCTAATGTCCATGACGTCGAATAAGTATTACCTACCTCCGTTTCAAAATAATTGTCACTTTTGATCACTTTTCACGGATAAGTCATTTTGTACAGATATGACTTATCTCTACGCTATAAACAAAATCACATCATATTTGTCCCATTCACCCTTAGGCACCTTTGTTGTCTATTTAGTTCACGTTGACACTGATGCTTGTTTTCTGTCGATTTAGGCAAGAAAAGGATGGCACTGATTCCATACGTACTATGTAGACAACCGATGCGCATGGTAATCGTATATATATGTAGTATAATTATTATATTATGTGAATGCAGAACAACACAACGAAAACATACACAATCACACACACACTGGTACAGAGACGACCTTTACTCCCGGTGGGGAACCCCCTCTAGTCCCGGTTCCCCACCCGGGAGCAAGCATCCGGGACTAAAGGGGGGTCCTTTAGTCCCGGGTTAGGAACGTGACAGTCATGAGACTTTAAGTTACATAATTTCTTCTCTGGCACATTTATAATACCCTTTATATTCGAGGAGAATCCAGATGGTACCTTGATGTTGTTTAAGCATTCAAACATGATTTCCTTCTCCTCTTTGCTTAGAGTGTAGCTGACAGGACGTAAGTAATGGCGTCCATCATCTGTCTTCTCAGGATGCAGGTTGTCTCTTTCTCTCAAACAACGCAGGTTCTGTCGTGCTTCAAATGTGTCCTTAGGCTTTCCATACACACCCATGAAGCCTAGCAGGTTCACACAAAGATTCTTTGTCAGGTGCATCACGTCGATCGAGCTGCGGACCTCTAGGACTTGCCAATAGGGTAGCTCCCAAAATATGGACTTCTTCTTCCACATGGGTGCATGACCGTTAGCGTCGTTCGGAACAGGTTGGCTGCCATGTCCTTTTCCAAAGACGACTTTCACATCATTGACCATATCGAGTACATCCTCACCGGTTCGGTTGCGAGGCTTGGTCAGGTGGTCTGCCTTCCCTTTAAAATGCTTGCATTTCTGTCCTGAAAGATTACTTAGAGCAGGCCAATCATTGATTGTTATGAACAACAATGCTCGCAGATCAAAGTGTTCCTGTTTGTACTCATCCCACACACGTACACCTTTATTCCACAAAATGAGAAGTTCGTCAATAAGTGGTCTCAGGTACACATCGATGTCATTGCCAGGTTGCTTCGGGCCTTGGATGAGCACAGGCATCATAATGAACTTCCGCTTCATGCATAACCAAGGAGGAAGGTTGTAGATACTTAGAGTAACAGGCCAAGTGCTATGACTATTGTTCTGCTCTCCAAAAGGATTGATACCATCTGTACTTAAAGCAAACCTTAAGTTTCTTGCGTCATTTGCAAACTCCAGGAATTCTCTGTCGATTGCTCTCCACTGGGACCCTCAGCAGGGTATCTCAACATATTGTCTACCTTACGGTCTTCTTTGTGCCATCGCAACAATTTTGCATGCTCTTTGTTTCTGAACAGACGTTTCAAGCGTGGTATTATAGGAGCATACCACATAACCTTGGCAGAGATTTTCTTTCGCGGACGTTCGCCCTCAACATCACCAGGGTCATCTCGCCTGATCTTATACCGCGATGCATGGCATACCGGGCATGCATCCAATTTCTCGTACTCTTTGCCACGGTAGAGGATGCAGTCATTAGGACATGCATGTATCTTCTCGATTTCTAGCCCCATAGGACAGACAACTTGTTTTGCTTCGTAGGTAGTGGCGGGCAATTCATTGTCCTTCGGAAACATCTTCTTTTGGATTTTTAGTAACTCTCTAAATCCCTTGTCAGATACACCATTCTTTGTCTTCCATTGCAGCAATTCTAGTGTGGTTCCCAACTTTTTCTGCCCTACATCACAAGTTGGGTACAACAATTTCTTGTGATCTTCTAGCATCCGCTCGAACTTGATCTTCTCCTTTTCACTTTCACATTCTCTTTGTGCGTCACGAATGACCTGACAAAGATCATCAGCAAACTCATCTTCTGCGGCTACCTCTTCTTCAGCTTCTCCCATTGCAGTATCATTGAAGCACGCACCATCGGGAATAATATCATTGTTGTCCCATTGTTCTTCTTCACCTTCTTCCATTACAACGCCGGTTTCTCCATGCTTCATCCAACAAATATAGTTTGGCATGAAACCTGACTTGAACAAGTGTGAATGAAGAGTCCTTGAGCAAGGATATTCCACCGTATTCTTACATACGGCACATGGGCAGCACATGAAACCATCGCGTTTGTTTGCCTTAGCCGCACGTAACAAAGAATGCACGCCGTCCATGAACTCTTGGGAGCGACGATTAGCATTGTACATCCAATACCGACTCATCTGCATTATATGACATAAATACCGTATTAAAATCTAAAACATAATTAGTTAATTATACAACATGCATACCACCACAAAAGCTATAAATTTAAGAAATCCTCGCTACAATGTAGACAATCCCAACTACCACTAAAAACACTAAAGCTAAAATGCACTTCAGCAGCACAAGAATTTCGCGACCAATCCCAACTAAAATAGACAGATCCCCTATTTGTTCAACATCTTTGGGCTTCTTCGGCTGAATCACTGCCTCATTAGCCGCCATATCTGCCTATTGTGCAAGATATTTTTGTACGAGTTCAACATACTCTTCCTCCCAGTAGAAGTCTAAACATCCAGTGCCATCCCACTGAAATTAAAACAGAAAATTAGAACTTTAATCACAGCCATCATGAAAATAGGTATAAACTAACCATAGTCATTAAATACGATAAAATAACTCACATTGCGATCCGGACACTTGTAGAAAATGCGACCCTTGTTGGGACCATCCTTCTTCACTTGGTACTCCATTACAATCTTCGTCTCATCACAACACTTGTCGCATGCAATGAGTGGGAGGCCCGGCCTAAGTTGCTTTGGAAACCCATGAGAGGCCGAGGACCCGAAAGCAGTAGCCATCTACTCTCTATACTTATTTTTTAATACACTATAAATTTCTCATTTTATAAACAAATAAAATTAAAAAAACTCTAAAATTATCTATATCTCTAAACAATGAAGTGTGCTATGCATGCTACAAATGAACGGTGAATACTAGTTTTTAATAGCTATTTTAACCTTCCTTCATGTAAATATGCAAGCTTGAAGTTTAAAGGTTTCCAGAGCGTTTAACACTACTCTACTTGCCGAGAAAGTTGCTAGTGTTGTGTCGTTGGCATTTTTCATGGTCGTGGCCATGGCCATTGTGTTCTCGTCTTTTACTGCGGCAGGTAAGTAATTCACATGATATTTCCGCAAATTAACAGAAGAATGGGAGTGTACACATATAACAATCGATTATCGTTTATATTTATATATATACTATGTTTGGGTATGGTGATTGACAGACTACTGCGACGATATCGGGACGTGTGAATAAATAATCATCCGTACTAGTTGACCTTGCTTACGTGATCATCTCGACGAGCATTTCTCCACCGAACGGCACCATACTTGGCCACGGAAGAGCTCCGATTTTACGAGGAAGGGAACACGGTCTTCCACGACCATTGCCGCTCTCCCTCGTAGAATTAAAGCTCCTCCTTGATGTCCGTTACCGCTCGGCAGAGAACATGCTCGCCGAGATGAACACGGTCCGCAAGTTCAACTAGCTACTTTAACCTTCGTTCATGTAAATATGCAAGCTTGAAGTGATTTTGAGCTCAAATTGCTTACAAATGAAAAAAAACCACAATAAAGAACTATATATATATATATAGTGAACAAAATGAGATAAGACAATGGTGAAAAATGAGAGTATGAGATTAGTAACCTTTACAACTGAAGAATCGACGGAGGAATCAAAGAAATCGACGGAGGAATCGAATAATGGATGGAAGAACAATGGAGGGAGGAAGCAAGCCTTAAACACTAGTGCAGTGAGCTTCAAAATGTGCTGAGGTCGAGCTCGAGGAGGAAGAAGGAGACGGCCAGGATATAAAGGGGACCTTTAGTCCCGGTTGGTGGCTCCAACCGGGATTAAAGGTCCCTACTAACAGCTAGTGCGCCAAACAGAGGTGGCAGGGACCTTTACTCTCGGTTGGAGCCACCAACCAGAAATAAAAGTCTACCTTTGGTTTCAGTTGGTGGCTCCAATCGGGACTAAAGGTCCCTGCCCAATAGCTACTGAGCCAGAGGTGGCAGGAACCTTTAGTCCCGGTTGGAGCCACCAACCAGGACTAAAGGTATCTCTAATTCCGGGCACAAAAAATATCGAAACTAAAGCCCATTTTTACCGAGGATCGAAGACCTGTTGTCTACTAATGACACACATATACGGCCAGGTAAAATTGCGCTGGAAGACAAAGTTTTGATGTGCGTTCAGCTCCCATTATTCGACAAAGGTCCAAGGGAGTAGCTCAGTGGTGGCCAGGAAGCTTCTCCTTGATCTTGTCCATGAGACCCTTCTTTTCGCCATGGCCGCCGGTGCCATCGGTTCCATGAGCCCCTGCTCCGCCGGTCATGCCAGCGTGCTCCTGCTGCCCGTAGGCTCCACCCGTCGCTGCTGCCTGGTTCTGCTGGCTGTCCTTGTGGCCGCCGGGGAGCTTCTCCTTGATCTTCTCCTTTAGCCCCTTCTTCCTCCGACCGCCCATGCCATCGTCCTCAGATGACTGTACGTACGATATGATCGGCAAATATTAAGTTACAGAAGACAGTCAGTTAGTGCACATATACGCGATGGATTATCCAAGACCGAACATGTTGTATTATATTATGGGAAACAAAAGAAACATACCGAGCTGGAGCTGGAGCTTCCGGAGCGATGAAGGATACAGCGGCTCCTGTGCTCCTCAGCAGCGGCGGGCTGGAACTGTCCGCCTGCACCGGCCTCACCATGGCCTGCCATGACAGTGGTGTCCCTGGTGTGGTCGTGCTGCCCCTGGTGCTCCATGCTATCACTCGTTGATTTCTCTGGCCAGCTAGAGCACTTGTTTTTCAAGTCTAGTGCCACGAGCTTTGTTCTTGGAGTGCGATCGAATTGTGATGTGCAGCCCCAGGCAGCATTTTATACTGCAGCGAGAATTAGAGAATGGTTTTGGGACATCAACCAAGAGTGGGTACGTGTGCAGCCACGAGTCGCTCGGAAGCCACAGCTATAGTAAATTAATTGGGGCCCAAATTAAGATAAGATTGAGACGTGTCGGTGGTGCCACGTACGCTCCAGGTTCTTCTCGAAGAGGATGATGATTGTATACAATGGCAGGTAAGAATGGATGTCGGCAAGCATCTGCTACTACGTGGAATTCGGGAGCTTAATTTAGGATAGCAGCTCGTGCCTACTCCCTGTCCAAAAAAAATAACCGTACAGTACATTTCGCACTTTTTAAAAAGTCAAATATTCTTAAATTTGATTAGATTTTTAGAAAACAATACTAACATTTTTATCTTTAAATAAGTTTACTATAAAAATATATGATATGATTCGTCTAATAATGTTTGTTGGAATTATAAATATAAATACATTTATATATATATATATATATATATATATATATATATATTAAACTTAGAATTTATTGACTCGTCGAAGTACGAGATGTATACTTATTTTGGGATAGAGGGAGTACTCAGTAGCTACTTGAAGGATTATGTTGATAGTATAATTTGGTTGGCTTGTTAAATTGGTTTTTGGCAATAACTGTCCATATGCTATTGTAATATCTTCATTGGCTGATTTAATTTGTGAGCAATGTAAATCGACTGCTAATAAGTATTTTGATTAGTTTGTTAGCTACTCGGGCAGCAGGATATATAAGGAGCAAAAAGACATGGAGAGCTTCTGGATTAGCAAGTGCAAGCTGGTGCGAAATTGGCGTTTTGGATATTAAGCTGTAGGAGCTAAGACAGAAGAAGATATTATGCGTGGATTATGGATGGCGCTGGTAATAAAGAAATACAGCGAGAAATATGTGCAACATGGATTTGTTGTTAAATTTGGTTTTTAGCAATACCTGTCCGTATGCTATTGTTATATTTCCATTGGCTGATTTAATTTGTGACCGGCTGCTAACAAGTATCGTGATTAGTCTGTTAGCTACTCGATCAGAAGGATGTATAAGGAGCATAAAAACGTGGAGATCTTATGGATTAGCAAATGCTAGCTGGCGCGACTTGGCATTGGGATATCAAGTTGTAGGAGCTAATGACAGAAGAAGAGATTATGCGAGGATTAAGGATGGCGCTGGTGAAGAAATACAGTGAGAAATATGTGCAGCATGGACGTCAGACGCCACTTTGATGCATGCTGGAGCATACGTATTATGGAGACAAAAGAAACCAAATAAGAGGCTGGGAAGGAGGGATCAACAAAGGATTTTGCACAAAATAATTGTTTGGCTGGAGGAGATAAGTTCTACTCGGATTAGCTGGTATCTCGGGCATCCCAGCTGCAGGACCAAACTGTTGGAATAAGTGATTTCAAGCCCATGGACAGGTATGGGCCAACGACCTAATCATGTCTAAGGCCGAGTCAATCGAAGGGGAATCTTTTCCCGTACGTGCCGTAATTAGGGGTACCCTAATGTTACGAGGTTGTGGCTTCTTGTCATGCAGCGCTAATTAGAGGCGGCTTCCACTCCTGGAGAACCAACATTCCGTGTGGACTACAGCCAATCCGATTCTCTCCTAAGATCCGATTACTAAGGGGCGCTAAAGTGACGGGAAGGGTACCGCTGTTCACCGTCGTTCCTCTTCCTCACCAACAACAAGAGGACATCGACATCTTCTTTACCGCCTTCCTCATCGACATTCCTGCTGCAGAGAAGAGGAAGGCGACTCCATCGATCCCTCAACGACCTCTACCGATGACGGACTACCATGAAGATTATGGTTAGTCATCAATCCATTGATGTGATCACATCAACTAGATTAAAGATCCTATTGCTTAAGCTCCTGTTTATCTAATATTGTGGTATCAAAGCCGGCTGATCTAGTTCGTGAAACCCTAAGAAGTGGTTTACGCGTTAGCTTATATTAATTTGAGGTCAAATTAATTAATTATTGTCCTAATTACTTACTGTTATGCCTAATTAGATGGGCTGATAATGTTCTAGGCCCTAATTAGTCATGCTCTAAGACAATTAAGTCTCTGGTTATGGGTAATCATCTAGGGTTGAATCTAATTTTGCATGTTCTGGGCCTAGATTTAGTTAATCATCATTATTAGTCACGGATCAATGCATTTTATGCCTAAATTAATCCTTATTTGTTCCCAGATTAGCCATGTTCATGCCTAATTGATGATGTCTAAAGTTAAGACAGTGCGGATTAAGCCACTAGGGTTGCGATTAGCAAGTAGGAGGGGAATTCGCAAATCATGGTCAAATTGAAGCTTTTCCTCAAATTCCCGAAACCCTAGATCATGAAATTCACAATTTTTGCCCAAATTGAAGCCCTAATCAATGAGCTTCATGGATTACCAACCTTGGTACGCAGCGCATCATGACGCCAACGCGCATCAAGGGTAGCCGCCGCATCCATCGCGGAATTAGGCTAGCCACGCCTGCGTGCACTACCGTTCCGCAGATTAGGGCGCCGCCACCGTGGATTAGGAGCCCACTGTAGCGCTCTCGTGCGTGGGTCGCTGTGTTTGCTGCCGCCGCCACCGCTGGTGGGCTTTAGGCGTGGCCGCGCATCCGCCGTACTTCCCCGCACGGGTGTTGAAGTTGTCGCATGACTAGCCCGCCACGGCTGTCGTTGCTGCGTCAGGGGCCAGTGCCACCGTCGCAATCATGGTGGATGAGGTTCAGCTTTCGTGGATGCAGATCAGGGAGTCGTAGCCCATCATCTATGTCGCCGAGATCAAGCTCCTCACGCACGCGCGGACTACTTGGGCATAGGCCGGGAGCCCTCGACGGAGCCTCGCGCGTGCACCGGCGAGAGGCCCGTGCCGATGCCATTTCCTCCCCGTGTCGCCGCCGCTACTTCTTCCTGCATCTCCGGCACCGTCACCCTGGGGACCCTGGTGGCCGCCGTGCGTAAATATCGGAAGGGAGGGAGAAGCAAATGGGTTAGGGTTTGGGTCTAGCTTCATTTTTTGTTCAAGGCTAAAATCGTGTGGACCGTTGATTTCCATCAGATGGCTGAGATCACACGGCCGATTAGTGGACCGGCGGGGGTGCGCGCTGACGGGCACTTTCATGGTCCAAGCCCAGGTTGCAAAGCCTTAGCCCATGCATTGGATGGTGCATGGTGCTTGGCGGGCTAGGCCTATGAACAGAAATTCTCTTTTGTCTTTTTTATTTCATGGGATGCTCAGTATGGGCCTCTAATGTTTGTGGGCTGCACGTATTATGGATGGGTTTTTATCTTTTCAGTGCATTGTTTACTGCTTAATGAATTTTCAGTAGCACTTTAACTATGTCATTATTTTAGCCCATTAGAAAATACCCTTTAAATTATTCTTGGCTTTAGGGCTAGAATAGTTGCAGGTCCTAATGTCTAATGAGTTATTTTGTGCCATAATGTTCAATGGGCTAAGTTGTGGCATAAGTTTAACATTTTGGGATAATTTTAGCCCATTAGACAATTAGGTAGCATCTAATTTTCATGATAATGGCGGCTTGTGGGGCATAATTTAATGGTAATGTGGCAATAATGATTAACTTTGCCTAAGAAAATTATGATTATTTCTTACTTTAATTTTTGGGCAATTTAATGTGGGTCCCATAATTATTTTCATGGGCCAATTTTGTGAGCTAAGTTTAAGCTTATTATTTTCAGTGCATCTCATTATTGTTCAAAGAATAATGGCACTGTCTTATGTCTTATGTATGATGTTTATTTTTGCCAACATAATGATTATTTCCGCTGCTAAGTTATGATTACTTTTCTAGTTAGAATGGAACCAACGGGAAATTCTAATTAGAAACATTCGTTGTGGCTTATGCATATATCTTTGACCAACGTTAGTTTATATGCATACATTCGTTTCTGCCAACAGTGATACGAATCTGAAATATCATTAGCATGTATTGAATCAGACCACGACATAATGTGAATATACCCTTACTAATGTTGTTTAATTTATTTTGAGACAGAGGTGTGTCCTTCGGAGATTATGGACAGCATCAATCTGATTCCTCTCTTGGACCAGACCAACTTCCCATTCTGGAAAGAGGAAGTACAATCGGCTCTAGTACCACTGAGCTGTGATCATGCCATACGCCAGAGTGCTCCTACTCTTCCAACAGGAGAAGGTGATTATGGTGGCACCTTCTACTAGAGTGTAACATCCCGGGTTTTTGTGCAACATTAAATACGAGGTTTTTAAAAAAAATCCTGCAATATGTGAAGCATGTAGTCTCTAGGTCAAACCTAAGTCAAGCTTTTTCCCTTCTAACCTGACTTCAAAATCGCGTCTTCAAAATTGTTTATGCAACAAGCCTCTTATCATGAAGTTGACTAAGTCAATGCCATGACAAGAGGTGTTTTTGAAAATAAAACTAAAAAGCTTTTCAAAGAAAGTAAAACTTGGGTCGAATTCGAATTCGCACACGAATTCAACGCTTAACCAAATCTAATATGATTTATTAATTTCCCTAAAGCAAAGCCCTAACTCCCTCTCTATCGCTTCAAAAAGGTTTCACAAATAAACTTGACATATAATTAGTTGCATGTATGAGTGTGCTCGGTTTTGTTTGGAGTTGCTGAATGTGTGAATCCCTCCAAATCTCTAGGGAAAATAGAAAAGCCCCTCTCCTTTTATCTCCCAACCAACAGGACCCATGTAGCCGAACCAACAGGCCCAACCGAGCCTCTCCCCTTCCCTTCCCCCACCAGCGGCCCTAGCCGTCGCCTGGGCCTCAGCCTTGCCCAGCTCCCGCTAGCCCACACCCTCTTTCACCGCCTGAGGGCCAGCTCGCCAACCGTACAGGCCCGCTTGCCTCTCCA